GCGGACACAACATCTTTGTTAGTATGTGGTGCTGAGGATCGAACCCAGGCCACACGCATGCCAGGCGAGTGCGCTACCGCTTGAGCCACATCCCCAGCCCCAAGGTGAATGGTTTCTCACATGCTCTTGCTGCTGCCTCAGCACGGCCTCAGAAACAATGGGGCCAACCAACCACGGACAGAAACCTTCAAAACTGTTAGCCAAAAAAAACCCTTTCCTCTTTTTAAGTTGATTATTTCAGGTACAGTAAGAGAAAGCTGACTAATACACATATTAAGTGACTACTATGTACAGAGATACCTCCACCTTCAACCACGGTTACCAGCCCAGAAAGATAAGGATCCTTTTATTTGTGGAGACCTCTAAAAATTAAAATCCCACACTATAGAAACATATCCCCTTCATAATGGTTTAAGATTTAAAGTATTACATAGAATTATTTTAATTCAACCAAAAATATAATTTTAAGGCTTTTGAGTAGCTGGTCATTTATTTAAAAAATTTTTATTGAGCTCCTATATATTTTTTAACTTATTTTTAATTTATTCTTTTTAGATATACATGACAGTAGAGTGTATTTTGACATATTATACATAGATGGACCATAACTTATTCTAATTTGGATCCTATTCTGTGATTGTACATGCTGTGGAGTTTCACTGGTGGTGTATTCATATATAAACGTAGGAAAGGTTATGTCCAATTCATTCTACTGTCTTTCTTATTCCCATTCCCCATCCCTTCATTCCCCTTTATCTAATCCACCAGAGCTCCTATTATGTGTAATAGCCACTGTGGCTACTATATCTAGGGACACAATGGTGAAAAGTAGATCATTTCTTTTTTTAAAAACTATTTATTTTTTTTAGTTTTTAGTTAGACACAATAGTTTTATTTTGTTTATTTTTATGTGGTGCTGAGGATCAAACCCAGGGCCTCGCACGTGCTAGGCAAGCGTTCTACCGCTGAGCCACAATCCCAGCCCAAAGTAGGTCATTTCTAATGTAATTTACCACGTATCCACCAAAGAACACTAAAGCAAATTCTTTTCTCTTTCTCAGAGGCATAGATAGGTCAACTGATTAACTTGAAAATGTAGAGATTGACTCTTGATCAAGCCCAGAAAACTGAGCTCAGTAGATGGTGAACATGTTATATGCTGGTGTTAGTTCACTACGCTATTAATTTAGATGTAGAATATACTGGAAAAGAATATAATTTCAAAGGAAAAGCTTTCTGTCCTTAGTGTTTCCCTCTAATTTCCACCTCTCCTAGTACTGGAACGGGTGAGCACGTACCCTTTGTGTTCAAAGGTTGGCATGCAGGCCTATAAACTTGGAAAAAGAACAAAGCTTTTTAGTATGATAAACAAAGAAAATGGAGATTAAAAAGCTTGGTTTCCTCTTCTTTGCATCAGCACATACCAGCTGTCAGACAGCTCTGAATAATCGACCCCTCCTATTCCTGAAAGGTAGAGTTATTATTAAAGCATTTCCAAACCACACTTTATTTTTCAATAAAAACGGCACCAACGAAGTTTCATTGCAACAAATAGGAGAGAAACTTTTAAAACTGAAATGTTGGCATTTCAAAAAATTTTCCCATCTAATTCCACTGATCCCTGTAACCTCACCAGCAGGCTGACATTCTGATAAGCTCTAAAAAAAAAAAAAAAAAGGAACCAGCAGGATGGGTGTGGCATCAGGGAGGTCCCTGTGAAAAAGAAGGGAAGTGCAACTACTCCAGTGGCTGCTGATTAGTCACCAGGAGAGGGGTGGATAGAAAGTGCACCCACAGGATACCTGATGACAGTCTTCCAGAGGAGAGGCCCATCTTTAGGTTCTTTGGTGTATCCCTTACCTTCAAACAAAGTAAGCTGCACCACCAGTCCTAAATTTCATCAAGCAGCAGAAAACTTCCATCCTTTGGGAAATGCTAGCAGAAGGGCCACTTTATACCCTCTTACAGAAAAAAAAAAAAAATGCTGGCTATCTCCTGAAGTTCTGCTATTGGAGAAGACTTGCAAATGAGATAGAGATTTAGAATAAAAAGAGATCCCCAGATGCAGAAAGTGCTCAGGAAAAATTGTAACTCTTGAACGACACACTCTTGGCCCAGGCCCTTGTAAAATGAGAGAAATGCATAATAATAAAATTATTATTATAAATTTCTCGACAGGGAAAACTGGCAAGAAATTGTGTAACTCCACCCTGGCTCCATGACTAGTGCAGCCCCCAACAACCGTCCCACTAGAAATATTAACACCCCAGTTTTAAAAGTTTCTCTTGTATTGGTTGCATAGAAACTTTGTTCGTACCATTTTTATTGAAAAATAAAATACACAACAAGGGATTGCTGTCTCTCCCTCTGGAGATAGCCTGCATTCTCCCTTGAATATGTACCTAAATAAACCTCGTGTATCCCTTTGTCTGGCAAATGCTGAAAATCTTTCCCCTCATGCGTGCCAAGAATCAGGCTGGTCCAATCAAGTTCTGCCTTCTCTCTGGGAACTTCTCGAACCCTGCTCTGGAGACATCTCTTCTCCCATGACACAAAGACTCATGGTTGAGTGCAAAGGGTATGGCATCTGGGATAAAGGATCAGTCTATCTTCTATTCAGTCCTGTTAATTACTCTTGTTGCCTCAAATTCCTCATCTGTAAAATGCAGTAGAAAGATGGAATAACCAATTTAAAAAGTGATTCTAAATTTCCAAAAAGAGTTCTTTTCTTTTGTTATTATTTTTTTTTCTAATTAAAAAAGCTTAAACTATAAAAAATCGTAAACTGGTCTACCTGCTTCCTATATACCTGAATGCATTCTCTGCTTCCAGTTTATTCTAGGAACATACAACCAGCACCCTACTGTCAGGCAGTGTCCCTGGTCAGCACCTACTGCCCATTTTCCAACAGATCCTTTCTCATGAGACAATGCTTTCCTTTCAGAAACATTTACTATTTTCCCAGAACAATGATGGCTAGTTCTTTATTTGATTCACCACCTAAACAATCAAATGGTTATGTCATTTCTCTAAAGCAGGATTAATTCACATAATTTTGTCAAGTCATATGAACTCTTCATTGCATTAAAAAATGTTAAGATGTCACCCAAATCTTTCCTGCAAGTTCTTCTGGAATAACTTGTAGGGTCAACATTTCTTGGTGGTCTAATAACCATAATTCACTCAATCAGCCAGATACAAAACCTGTTCAATGTTGCTCCTGCAGGAGCCAATGCTTATATGTTTATAACTTTAAAAATTTACAGTTCAAAATTGTGATACCAAGCTGACTTTACTCTGGCACTGATGAGTTAAGGCTTCCAGAGATCTGCTTCAAGCCAGGAAACTTCCAGTGCAGTGTTCAAAGAACATCATGCTCAAGGCACATCTTGTGGTCTTTCATAGCCACATGATAGGTCACGTTCTATTTGCCTTAGTTTAAATTTTGTTATTGCTATTAGTAATAAGCCAATAGAAATAGGGTAGCAAAAAGAAAAGTTCAGGATCAATAACTTCTTCCTTATGAATTAAAACATGTGCACATGCACGTGTCCCCCCCAGTGTGTGAGCAACTCCCTTCCCACATTCTGCCTCACGAACCATTACACAAAATAGTCCTCGGAGCTACAGGAGCAGTTGATAGTGCAACCTGGGTGAAGGACGCCTGTTGTGTGAAGTCTCAGGCAGATTCTTGACCTAGATGACCAGCTTTTCCACACTAAGGGTACTGGTGGTTTCATCCTCTTCGTTTGAGCCAAAATATCCCGGGAGGTCCAGCATCCTTTGCTCAGCCTCAGTGAGGCCAAAAGATGTGTTGTCATAGAAGGCAAACTCAGGCTGGGCTGGGAAGCTCTGACACTTGTCTTTCCTACATGGAGAAGGGCTCAGTGGACTGACCCTCTGGTAGCTATCTTTGGGAGACGTGGGGGAAGACTGCTTCCTTGAGACACTCCTGTGACTGGGGGATGGTCCTCTCCGAGCTCTGTGGGGCTCTGTTCTCTCCACTCCTGCCACTAGTCCTGCCTGGCGGTCCCCCAGGTCTGCTTTCCGCATAGGCTGCCCCATGGTGTAGGGTTTAGGGAGAGGGCTCAATGGACCACTGATTCCACCTGCTCCTTGGAAATGCTCCAGTTTCTCAGGAACCAGGTGAGCACCTCGACTCGGAGGCCTAAACCTGTCCTCTGCCTGGTCCCAGGTACGCATCCTAGAACTGTAGGTGGGGGCCTGCCGTGGAGTCAGAGTGGACATGCTCCTCTCCCGGAATGGTCGGGGTTGCTTGGTCTCATGAAAACTCGCCGTCCTCCTGAAATGGGAATTCCTGGGGTGGCTCCTTTCTGATGAGGCCCCTCTGCCACTCGTGTGCCTCAACTGGGACTTGCGGATCAGAGTCTGGCTGGGGCTGATGGCACAACTGGCCTGAGACATGTTGAAATCCAGCCTGGAGGGAGGCCTTTCCCCGCCACTCCCCAGCCCCACAGGCTGGTCCAGAAATGGAGACTTGATCCGGAACTTACTGGCTGCAGCTTCTTCTGGGCTTTCCAAGTCTAAGGGGGGACCAGCCGCAGAGTCTATGGCGGTGTCTGTCAGGGGACTCTGAGACACATGGTACACTTTGGTGGTCTCGGTCAGTCCTTTCTTCTTCATCTCCTTCAGCTGCTGCTGGGCAAGGCGGTAGCTGAACAGAGGGGGGATTATCTTCTGTGCATTGGACTGAAAGCTCTCGCTGCCAGAGGCGTCGTCCTCAGGAGTCACCTGCACACTGCGCCTGTAGGTCAGAGGGATACCCGTGTCCCCTGGGCTCCCCCCAGGCCCATCACCCCCATCCGAGAAGCTTCCCCGCTGCTCGCTCAGCTCGCAGATGTTCTCCTCGTCCGAGTTCTTCCGGAAGCTGGGGGAATGGATGGAGTTGTGTCGAGCCGGGGTGCTGCATTTGGGGGACCGGCCAAACCTCCTCCATAGAGTGATGAGGACGGTGGCAATGATGATGAAGAGGCACAGGGATATCCCAGTGACCGTCACGATGTTGTTGGACTTTGCCGGACCCTGCGGTGGAAGGGGGGATGAGCTGGCTGGCCGGAAAGCTACAAAAAGAGGAAGAACAAATGAATTCTCTATATGGTTCTGAGATCTCTGAGTTGCTTGTTTTAATAATCAGAGCAGTAAAAGGGAGGCGGAAAAGGGACAGGCATTGGGCTTTTTAGTCTGCCGGATCTCTGCTGAAAGCTGAAGCCAAACAAGGTCACCAAGAAAGAGGAAGAGCTGCAAAACTAGGGACCCACACACAGGAAAGCCACAATCAAAGAGACTCCTGTGCTCCCCAGCTCCTGCTGAGACACCACCCATTTTCCACACAGAAGCAGTGTGTAGAAAATATCAAGGCAAAAAAAAAAAAAAATCAAGGTTTTCCCTTTACAATGATGTAAACACAGGACATCTGTAGTACAGGTACTGGAGAGGCTCGTGGGAAAATACCAAGACTCAAAACACAAAATCATTTAGATGGGTTATAAATAAACTTTCACATTAAATTAATTGATGGAAATAAAACTGTCAACAATATAATACGGTGCACTTTTCCCCCTTCTAGTACCCAGAAGGTGTCTTTCTAAGTATGGATCCCTGTGCTCTCTCACCCTCTGTTTTCAGCTCTCCACCCCTCTTCCCACCTTCCAGGTGGCACTGGCTTTGCATCAACTTCCCTGCTTTCTCAAGCCACTTTGTTCCACAGCCTGAAAACTTTTTAATCAAGGTGTCGATCCCTATATATACTCAATAGAATTTTATTCAGCCATAAATAAAAATGGAATTAAGGCATTTGCAGGAAAATAGATGAAGCTAGAGAAATAAGTCCAACTTAGAGGGTCAAGGGTCATGTTTTCTTTCATATGCGGAAGCCAGAGAGGAAAAAGAAAAGGAAGGTGGAGGTGGATCCCATGAAACTCAAAGGGGGATCAGTAAAAAGTGGCCAAGGGGTGGGAGGCAGGGAAGAGGGGGGGATAGGGCTGGGGAAGGATATTGCCAAATTATATTGTTATGTTGTGTGCATCTACAAATATGTAACAACAAATCTCATCCTTATGCACAACTACAATGCACCAATAAGAAATGTGGGGGAAAAAAAGATGCAGATGCCACCTGGAT